AAGTACTGGGGGGGGGGTTCTTGGCGCAGAACTCAGCAGGAAGTGCAGCGCGGAAGCGAGCGTCACTAGTGCGCAGGTGGGTAATGAGGTCGGCGACTGTGGCAAAAGCAGCAAGGTCGGGAAAGAGGTACGGTAGCATGAGGCGGCTCAGTGCAGCAGTGGCAGGGGTGGAGTAGCGTGCAATAACGGCGTCGTACAAGGTCTTAGCACTCTTGTACGACCCAAAGTGTGCACGCTCAGAGGGAGGGAGGTGGCGACGCACAGCAAGACGTGCAGCAGCATCGCGTGTGGCCCACTGTGAGCGAACAGTGGCATCCTCAGTAGCAGCAGGGGCGGGAGAGGCACCAGAAGTGAGATCAAAGAGAGAGAGGCCGTCAGCTCTGTCGCACTGTAGGAAAAGCAGTAGGTCGTCTACCCATACGTCAAAGTCGATGGCTCTGCCCTCAGCGTCAAAGGTGAGGACACTGGGGGTAGCCATGACAGCAGTAGGGTAAGGGCAGTGCACAGAGGAACGCTCAGTGCTCACCAGACAGGGCAGTGCAGGCGGCTCGGGCGGCTCGGGCGGCTCGGGCGGCTCAGGCGGCTCGGCGGCTCGGCTGCTGGGCGGCTCGGGCGGCTCGGCGGCTCGGGCGGCTCGGGCGGCACGGCTGCTGGGGCGGCTCGGCTCCTGGGGCGGCTCGGCTGCAGGGGCGGCTCGGCTGCTACTGCGGCTCGGCTGCTGGGGCGGCTCGGCCACTGGGACGGCTCGGCTGCTGGGGCGGCGGGGCCGGGAGATGAGGCGGCGGGGCCGGCAGGTGCAGTAGCGGGGCCAGCAGGGGTAGCGGCGGGGCCGGCAGGTGCAGTAGCGGGGCCGGCAGGTGCAGTAGCGGGGCCGGCAGGGGTAGCGGCGGGGCCGGTAGGTGCAGTGGCGGGGCCGTCAGAGGGGACGGCGGGGCCGTTGGGTGCAACGGCGGGGCCGTCTGAAGCAGCGGCGGGGCCGGCAGAGGGGACGGCGGGGCCGTCAGGTGCAGCGGCGGGGCCGGCAGAAAGGGACGGCGGGGCCGTCCGAAGGGGACGGCGGGGCCGTCAGGTGCAGCTGCGGGGCCGGCAGAGGCGACGTCGGGGCCTGCAGAGGCAGGCGAGGAGGCCGCGTGGGCGGCGCTAAGGGGCCGCGAAGGCGGCGCGACGCAGCAGAGCCGCGAGGGCGGCGCGACGCGGCCGTAAGGCCAGCGCGACGTGGCCCGGGCCGCGCGCGCGAAAAAAAAAGGTCGCGCGCGCGACTCGCGGGGGCCACAAGGGCAGCGCGAGAAGGACTAGGGGGGGGAGCGCGCTTCGGGGAGGGAAGGGCGCGCTCCGGGCAGCGAAATTTTCGTGGGTGGGCCCTTAAAAATTGGTCCTTTACGAAGGACCCGCTCTATACCATGTTGAGATTAGAGAGAGGAATGAGGTGCACTATGAAATGAAGCAAGTACAAGTACCAACCCTAAATGGGTTGTACCCCCTATGGGCTACCCCACTACAGCCTAAATATATGCATCAGCTATATAATAATCTGACAGCGGCAGCGTCAGGAGTTGATGCGATAGCGGCAGGAGTTGATGCGGCAGCGACACGAGGTAATGCGGCATCGCGAGCATGCGTCGAACACTCGCCCTGCGTCCAGATCGTAGGTGCCTCGTGGCCCGAGGAAGGGAAAACAACGGTAGGAGCTGATGGCGAAACTAAATCGGGAGCAGCTGAAGCTCGTCGTAAGAAGTCTAGGCCAGTAAGGGCGGCTGGCTTCGTGGCTGGGACGGATTCAGGGTTGTCACCTGCGGGCGTTGAATCCGCCATGGCTGCTCAGCTGTGCTGAGCGTGCCGAGCTTGAGAGGGAAGCTACTGTTTGGTTGAGCTCGAAAGTCACTTCCTGCAGGGGTTCACGACGAGTGCAGGAACAGATCGAGGGAGCAGATGGGGGTACCCCCTCTCCCGAACCGCCATGGTTGACGTCTTTGCGGGCAAGATGACAATACCCCCACCCACCCCACTGCCATATTTTATGGCGTGTTGGTGTGGACCGTGCCAGCAGTGGTGTGCTGTCTGTGTTATCATTGGGCAGTTGTTGAAATAGGTTCATCGTACTCTGGTGTGATGGCTTCCAGCGAGGCAAAACGGTTCGGCGCGCACATGCTGTAAGTACAGCGCATGTGAAAAGATTCCAAGTGTGTGGGTGGGGTGGGGTTTCGTGAATCACGGGAAGGTACAGTCTGTAAACGCGTCCCCTCCCCCCCCCCCCCCGGGCGGTCAAGTCCGTTTCAGTGTGACTCGCTGAAGTATACTGATTCGTCAGTGTTACTTGTTCTCAAACACGAAAAATGGTCAGTGTGGCAAAATTGCAAATACTGAAATTACAGTGCAAAAATGAGGCATATGCTGATTTTTCAGGGAAAACGGAAATCAGAGCTACAAAATCAGCGTAATCAGCGTGTTTTACGCTGATATCTGAGGGCCTGCTCAGAAGACTCAATAATTGCCGTGGCCAATTCTAGATATGATTGAAAGTATTTGGGGCTTGTGGCTACCTTACAAGCATCGTGACTGGATATATTGTAGTTGTGTACACTTCAGTGTAACCTTATGCATGACAATGGACAGCGTGGAGTCTGGGTTTGTGATTTCTAGCAAGTTTTAGGTCATTATTGGCTACACATTCTAAAAGGCTAATTCTGGCTTATACATTCTTTGTGGTGGACAACCTCACAAATTTTGGTGGGTTATGGAGATCTCTTGGTGGACAACACTTTTAGAAACTTTCTTGAACCTAGCATGGCTAATGGCCTCCCAGGATACCGTATTTAGACTGAGGTGGTCCTAAGAGTCGACTGTGTACATTCAGTGTCAAGGTCGAATAGCTATTTCCAATCACCCTCGCACTCAGCCACACACTCACCCTCGCACACCAATGCACCCCGCCACACATGCAGCCACGCAATTGCCCTCGCACTCACCCTTGCTCTCGCCATTTTCTGGCCAAAAAAAATCCCAAGAGGAAGAAGGGGTTGCATTGAAAGAAGCAAGAAAGAAATACAAGAAAGCACGTAATCAAGGAAGTACACCACCAACACTAGAGTAGAATCTAGCTATATATGAAACATGTATATTTGACACACCCAAACAAACGGCCTCAGCATAGACTAGTGTAGTCAACACCTTATGAAGGGGTACATCTGGCAGAGAGCAATGGGAGCAGGCGACAACTTGTCACCTGGAGAGCGGGTGATGTTGCTGCAATGAGCAGCGGCACAGCAAGGCTCTCAATGGCAGCACTTGTGGGTGCCAGTAGACGGAAGCGACTGCAGACACAGGCTGCAGGCAAGAGCAACAGGCATGGGCAGCCGACATGGGCAGCAGGAACAGGTGGCGGCAGAGAGAGGAGGAGGAGGCAGCTGACACTGCAAATGCACTCCCGCCACCCCTTTACCTCCCCCCCACAGTGGCAGGCGCAGCAGGTGCAGGTGCAAAGGGCTGACGCTGCATGCGCGAGGAGGAAACAGAGGGGTGGGGAGGTGGGCTAAGGGGGCTTGAGCACCCCCTCAACCTTGGCCGCCAATCCTGCCACCTCCCGCCCACAGCGTCTGTCGTGGATGGGTCGATGCAGGGCCGCGGCAGGCGCTGCTGGCACTTGGAGCTGGCGCTGGTGGGTGTCACTGGCATTGGCGCTAGCACTGGCGCTAACACTGGCACTGGCACTGGCACTGGCGCTGGCACTGGCTCTGGCACTGGCACTGGCGCTGGCACTGGCGCTAACACTGGCACTGTCACTGGCACTGGCGCTGGCACTGGCGCTAACACTGGCACTAGCACTGGCACTGGTGCTGGCACTGGCACTGGCACTAGCACTGGCGCTGGCACTGGCTCTGGCACTGGCGCTACTCCAGAAGGTGCTGCAGTAGCGGTGTCAGTCAACGGACGATGAGGCAACGCGACGGGACAGCCAACAGGCAGGTGACGTGGCAGTGCATCGGGGCAAGCTTCCGGGCAGTGCGCCGGAGCAGCAGGACGGGCAGGCAACAGGCCAATAGGGCTTGCCATCATGGTCGTCTCGACGGTTGCAGCGACAGGTACAGCGAGCGAGCAACACGTCATCAGAAGGGGCGCCACGATGGCTGATAAATAATAGGCCTCTGGACGTATGGCCTCCCGCCCAACCACCCTTGGGGGGCTTGACATGGCTGACCCAGCCACAGAAGGCCCCTTATGTTGCCTCACCCCACCTCAATAGTGACAGCAGCAAGCCTCCTAGTCAACCTCCTGGAACGCCCACAGGCGTCCATGGCTCTCCTCCTCGCCCATCTCCAGCCACAGGCCCTTGGCCAAGCCTCATAACAGCACAGCCTTTCTGCTGTTTAGGTCGGTTTACCCTCAGGAATCATCGTATCTCATACATGAATCAGAAGCGACCTTCAGGACGTAGAGAAAGTACAAGAAAATGCTGCACCACAGCTAGATACCTTGCCAGAGACCTCCTCGAAGGGACTGAAGAGAATTGGCATCCACCACCACCTCCACGACAGGCGTTGCTGCAAGGTGATTGGTTAGGGAGTTACCATCATAAGGAGACAAACCAGTTTACCTCTGTGGCGAACACATTTGCAGAAAGCTCCAGTCCATACGGCACCCCCTCACTCCGGAGCAGTCTCCCTATGCGGCTTTAACCGTCACCAACCCGTCACAAGACACGCTCACTGGAAAGAAAACCCATGGGGTGCCACTAGAGCAGCCCAATCCAAAGAGAGCCCGCACCGCTCCTCTGTCCGCACGAGGTTGGTGGGTTTCATTGCCCCTCCCCGCCCCTGTCACTGCTGCCAGTGCTGCCGCAGCCACCGCCGCCGCCGCAGCAGCAACTGCAGTAGTGGTAGTAGCAACAAGCGCCAGAGCTGCAGCCACTGCTGCCGCCACCACAGTAACAGTCACATCCCACAGCAACGCCTCTCCCGCGAGCCTTGGAAGGGCAGGGACCCTTCTCATCCCAGTCCCTGCGCATGCCGCTAGTAGCACGCGTGTTCCAGCTTGCAGCCAAGCACATGCTCAGGCACAGGCGTGCATATGACGATGCACGCTTATCTCTGGATACGTTTGGGCTGGCGGCGCTGGGAGGGGACGGAGGCGGGGTGGGAGGGGTGCAGGCGGGGGCGTTTGGAGAGGTTGGAGTGAGTGTGGATGGGTTGGTGGATGTGCTGGCGGAGGGGAATTCGGGGGTGGAGGAGCTGTTGTATGTAAGGCAGGCATGCCGGCTGGTGTTCTACGGACAGGCGCCGCACGAGCTGCGGTAAGAGTTTTGCTGGGAGGGGTTTGAGGTTGATGTGTGGCCGCGTGGGGTATGGTGTGTGGTGTTCTGAGAGTGGTGGGTGGAGTGTGGTGTGGCATGGTGTGTGGTGTGCAGTGTACGGTGCAGGGGGTAGGGCGCAGGGGGTGGGCGCGTGGTGCATGATGCACACATATAGTTGCTCCTTTTCAGGTGCCTCTCTTACCCGTCTCCCTTCCTTGTCCCTCCATTGTCGTCAGCATCGTCTATCCTCCTCCCCCACACCCTCTCACCGACTCCCTGTCGCTCACAATCTGCTTCCATCCCACCTGCACCCCCACCCGATTTCGCACCCGTATCCCTCCCCCCCCCCCTCCCCTCAACCCCACGAACCAGGAGGTTGATGCATGAGGTGGTGCGACAGCAGTCGGAGCACCTGTCAGGGGCCGACATGTCTCCCCCTTCACTGCACCATTCCCCCCCACCACCCCCCCTCCCTCCCTCCCCACCACCCCCCCTTTCCCTCCCCCCCCACCAACCCCCCTTCCCTCTCCCCCCACCATCCCCCCTTCCCTCCCCTCCCACCAACCCCCTCCCTCCCCCACCTGTATCTCCCAAACCAGCCCTACAGACCAGGAGGTGTTGCTGCACGAGGTGGTGCGGCAGTGGTCAGGGCACCTGTCAGGGGCGGTCATTCTGATGTGCGCCAAGGTTCACGACCTGTACCGCGGCATTCATGCCCAGCGCATGATGGCACAGGTGGGGTGGGCAGGATTGTTGAGTGGGCTGTGGGTGGTGGGAAGAGGGGTGGGTGCTGAAACAGGGGCAGCCAAGGCTCACGACCTGTACCACGGCATTCATGCCCAATGCATGATGACAAAGGTGGGGAGTGGGGGAGATGATGGGACGCATGGTAGGGTGGGTAGTGAGGGGATGTGGGATGGGACGAGGGTAGCCAAGGCACACGATCTATACTGCGGCATTCATGCCTAGCGCATAATGGCACAGGTGGGGCTATGGGTGGGGGATGGGACGAGGGCAGCCAAGGTGTAGACCTATACCACTGCATTCACACGCAACGCATGATGGCACAGGTGGGATTTGAGGGGAGGGTGGGGCGTGGTTGGGCGGGAGGGAGAGGAGGGCGTTTTTGAGTGGGTGGTGGGACGGGTGGTGTGGGTGGGATAGGGTTGCGTGTGTAATGAGGGCATCCATGCAGAGTACATATGCTGCAGTGAGAAGGGTGGGGGGGGGAGGGGGGGGGGAGGGAAGAGAGATAAGGTGGAAGGGGCATGGTTGGGTGGGCGGGTGGTGGGTGGGCAGTGGAAGAGGGAGTGAGGATTGGCCCAGAGGTTAGTGAATGGGTGGTGGGACAGGAGCAACAGCCAGGACACAAGTGTATTGTGGCATGCACGCCCAGCGCGTGATGTTGCATGTGAGGGTGGGGAGGGGGGGAGATGATGGGGCGCATGGTTGGTTGGGTGTTTAGCGGTGGGGTTGGGGGTGGGGGAATGGGACGAGGCCAGCCATGTCACATCTGTACCATGGCATGCACGCCCAGCACATGATGGTGCATGTGAGGGTGAAAGGGGAGGGAGTGTACGATCGGAGGGCATGGTTGGGTGGGCGGTGGGCGTGGCAGGGAAGGGGGGGAGTGGCGCAAAGCCGCACCACCATCCCAACACCAATCTGCTAAGGCCACACCACATCCTGTTGCAGGGTGTTTCTGAGAATTCTAAAAAACACCCTGCAACATCTGCTAACACCACATCACACCACGTTACACCACATCACACCACATCGCATCCTCCTTCTCCACCCCGTCCCCTTCATCTCCCCCTCATCCATTCCCTCCCTTCTGCCCACTCCCAATGGCAAAGACATGGCACGCAAGTAGCTATGTTCTCGTGCCATGACACGACTACCACCCCAACGCGAAGCTGCTGCGACACTGCATGCTCACCTCGTTCCTCGCCCTCCCTCCCGCCATGTCTCCCCTCCCAAAGGTGTCATGCGACATGGCACGTGAGTGCCTCTGCATGCACGGCTGCCCCAATGCTAAGCTCCTGTTACACCACATCCTCACCCTTTTCTCTGCCTCCCTCCCGCCCTGTCTCCTCCCCACCCAAAGGTCTCATGTGACATGGTACAGGAGTATATGTGCATGCATGACTACCCCAACGCCGAGCTGCTCTTAGACGCCATCACACAGCTCTAACGCCGAGACTCCTTCCCCTCCCTGCTTGCTTTCTGCCTCCTCAACCTCCGCTCCAGCGCTCGCCACCTCTCCCTCCTCCCCGACTTCCTCCTGTACTCTCTCGAGACAAGAAGGGGCGTGGGAGAGGGGGATGAAGGAGGGAATCAGAGCAAGGGAAGAGAGAGCAACGAGCAGCAGCAGCAGCAATTGCAGCAGCAACAGCAGCAGGTGGCATTGAGAGGAGACATTAAGGTGCCTATGGTGGAACCCCATGGGTCATGGAGCACTGTGGTGTTTGTTCGATGGAAGGCCGCCATTCCCATTAGCTTCATTGCCACTCTCTCCTACTCCTCCTCCCCTCCTTCGGCTGCTGCTGCTGCTTCCACCCAAGCCACGCAGGCTCAGAGGAGTGTGAGAGAGGAGGCTGCTGCTGCTGTTCCTGCCGATGCCACTGCGGTTGGGGATGCAGGTGAAGCAGGGGAATGTGCAAGTGCAGCAGCCACAGCAGACCCAATAGCAGCAACAGCAGGGGGAGGAACAGTAGCAAGGGGAGGAACATCAGTAGGCGCAGGAGCAGTGGAAGGTGTGGTGAGCAGTGAGAGCGCAGTGAGCAGCAGCAGCAAGAGCACCAAGGCACCTTTCCAGGTGTCAAGATCTCAGGACCTGCGCTGCCAAGAAGCCCTCTCAGTGGTCCATCGCTACATTGGCCCCTTTCGAAAAGACTCCCTCATCCCCATCTTCCACGAGCCTCCACCCCCACCACCTGTGCTGCCTCTACTCCCACCACCCCGCTCCCATTGTCCGCCCCATCTGCTCTCTCAGGGGCAGCAGCAGCAGCAGGAGGAGGAGCAGAGGCGGCGCCGGCAGACGCTGTAGCGGTGCATGAAATGTGTGTGGTGGCGGTGGTGGTGCGAAACACAGCGTGCACGGCTCTGCGGCTACTGGCAGTGCGGGTGCAGCAGTAGCAGCAGCAGGGGGATGACTCCGCATGCCTCGTCCGGCCAGTGTCCATGCGTCCCCGTGCATCTGCTGCTCTTGCTGCTGGTGGTGGTGCCATTTCAAACGCAGATGAGGGGAGAGATGGTGACAGGAGCAGTGCAGGTGTGGAGGGCAGTGGAGAAGGAGAAGGGGGAGAGCCAATGCCGTCAGAATCACCAGAGCAGTCAGAGGCGTGTGATTTAGATCTGCCGCTGGTGCTGGGTCAAGGCGAGCCCTTCACCCAACTCTTCCATGTCACGCCACGTATTGTCTCGCCCTCCCTTGTCATCAGCTCGCTGCTCCTCTCGTGGCAGTGCCACGCAGCCCAGGGCAATACCAGCAACGAGTTCCACAGTCATGGCTAGTCAGTCCTGCAAATGCCTGCAGGCATGGCAAATGCCTACGAGAAAGATCTGGCAAGCGGATTGGGCATCAAGCTTGCAGGCTCTGACTCTGTCGCACTAACTCTAGACTCTGCAGCCCTAACCGATCAGCCACATCAACACGCAGCCCAGACTCTGACCCTTGCAACCTCGTTTCTCCCACAGCTCTCCCCAACCGTCTCATCTCTCTGGCCGTTCCCACCCGTTCTTGCCGCCAACCCGATTCTCGTCGCATCGCTGCGCCTACCACCGTTCACGATTGTGGGGTCGCCCTTCTCCTTCTCCATCCGCCTCTCTAACTGCACCACCTCGCTACAAGAGGTGGTGTATCAGTTGCAGGACGCCCCAGCTTTGTCTTTGCAGGTCAGCACAGCTGCTCGGTCGCAGTGCTCCCCCGAGCCTCTCTGCGCCTCTCCTTTTGCCTGGTCGCGGTGGCATCTAGTATGCTGCAGCTGCCGCTCATTCGGCTTCTGGCTCCCTGCCTTGCTGCCAAGCTCTACCCCTGCCTGCACAAGTCATGGCTGTTTGTCTTCCCCTTTGCCGCTGTTGTGCCTGTTGCTGCTGCATCTGCTGCTGCTGCTGCTGCTAATGCTGCTGCTGCATCTGCTGCTGCTCCTGCTGCTGCTGCTGCTGCTGGTGCTGCTGCTGCCGCCGCCGCCGCTGCTGCTGTTGCTGCTGCTGCTGCTGCTGCTGCTGCTGCTGCCGTGTTGTAACAAAGGGCGCCCTTTTGTTACAACAATCCTGAATGACAAGCAAGGGGAGGTTGGGGTGCCAGTTTGGTTGCGTACGTGCTTGTGCTGTCGGGCTCTGCACTGAAAGGTGGGTGTCTGCGGTTGTAGGCGTAACTTGTAAGGTAGGAGGCAACACCGCACTATTAGGTCTTCGAAGGTTGCACAACTAGAGGTGAATTGTCTACTGTAGGTGATTTTTATTGAGGTATGGGAGTATGTTGACCTCATAAATATCAATGACACCAGGAGATGTAAACAATTCATGTTTCCAAGTGGCACACTGGCACAAAGGCCAAAAGTTACCGTAATGCTAGCATCGACTCAAATTTGTTACCAATAACTAGGGTGGGTCACACACTTGACATGTTTACTGGTAATGAACGTATTACTCTTCAGGCAAGTGAGTGCGGATCAAAGTGACAAAGTGAATAGTACAACAGCCACACAAGTGCCTCAGATTGGTTTTAGTCAACAATTTCTGGTCAGTGTTGGTCCAGAAAAAAAAAACTTTCTGTCAGGGTCCTTATGTGAAAACACCTTGGAAAATTAGTGTTGTCTTTAAAAAAATACTTTCTCAATCAGTGTTGAAAGCAATTAATAGGCTGATTGATTGCACCAGACCAGACTAGCCAGCCAGACCACACGTGGGATGGGAAACGCTTTTCATTATAGTTCAGCAAGCGAACACTAATACCACATCGCGACTAACTAATACCACATCGCATCCTCGTCACCACTATCTGCTGCCTTCACATCCTCTTCATCTAGGTCTACTGGGTTGGCCTGGTCTCCTCCTGCCTCTACCTCCTTGTTTCCCCGACGCCTCCTATCTGCCTCCTGCCTGGCGATGTTGCAGGTGTTGAGCAGCTTCCGCTTCTTGTAGTTACGCCAAACCTCCACAATCTTGTCCCACTTAGGCTTGAACCGGAGCAGCGACATGCACACTAAGTCACTAAGCCGAGCATCTTTGAGGCCACCTCGCTGCCAGGACTTAATGACGTTTTTCCGCGAAAAGCCGCGCTCGCATTCGACCGTGCTCAACGGCAGGACACCGACAGCCGCACCAGGTTTGGGTAGTGCTCCTGCCAGTCGTTGGTCTTGAGCATGGCGGTAAGCCCAGTGTGGAATCCTCGCTCACCCTTCGGTGCACGTGAAAGGATGGGGATTAAAGGTCGCACTTCCTTGACTGCTTTCTTCTTGTCGACACCTGCAATAAGAAAATAAGCATAGATTGAAGAACATCGTTCAAATAGTAGAAATCCAAAATGACACAAGGATGGAGAGGCACGGCATGCACACATAAGGTTATAAGCTCACCAGGTATTATCTCCTTGCACTCTTCCGCGCGGAAGAGAGTGATCAGCGCCTCAAGATGCTCTTGACACTTCGCTTGGCGCTCGTGCCTGCCATGCGGCCAATTGTCGGGAGTGAACAAGCTCACGCCCGAGAGCTTGGCGAGGTCGCCCAACAGATCCAGGAGGTTGGCCACGATGAGCTCAGCAAACTCGGTGTAGATGTCAATGCATGCGTCGTGGTGCCAAGGTCTAGGGTAGTCCGCAAGTTTATCTTCATGCAGTATGAACATGAAGGTGCATGCCTGCCCGTCAGAGTCGCTGCCCTCGATGCAGACTTCCTGCTTGCCTTCAGGACCATGCTTCTCAAGGCATGGTGAGAGCCTTGGACTGAGCCCGCCGCCAAACTCATCCCTGCAGTCGACGTAACGGGCCTCCAGATGTCCAGTTGTATGGCAAATCTGCGTATGCACAGCTGACAGATCGAGCTTTGGGGGATGGAAGCAAGGCAGAAGAAGTTGGGGCACCAGATTTTATACTAAACATCAGATAGAAAACTGACGGAGCACATAGACAATGGCCATGCAAGTCTAGCCAACGTAGACGCACCTCTAGTTGCTGGAACGTCCTACTCAGAACGTTCATCTGGTCAAGCACGTCGGAATGGAAGAGCAGGAGAAGGTGGAATCGGCACGACGTCACCACCAGGTACAGCTCTTCATTCCACTCCTTCAGCATCGTGATGACTGCCGGCAGGACCGCCACAAAATTGGCGATAGCATCACCGCGTGATAGCAACCATACACTGTGAATTCCTTGAGCTCCTCTCGGTAAAAACCTCTTGGAGGTCCTTGAAGCGCTGATGCCATGGACCCGAGCGGCCCAGATGCTCGGCGATAGTACGGATGGCATTATCAATCATGCTGAAGACAGGTAAGCTCTTGGCAACATCCTTAGTGTCAAACATTATATGTTTGTTTGGTTCTAGGCTGTAGTGGGTCACACCATAGGGGGTACACCACTTTAGGGTTTCATATTTGTACTGTTGTTCCTGCTAGTCACATTCATTCCTGTTTCTGATTCTGACATGGTATTACGAGCCTAGGTTCCACCTAGGACCGGAACGTTAGGGCCCACCGTTTCCGCCAGCCGCGCCCTCGTGCGCCGCCTTTTCCTAGCGCCCTCGTGCGCCTCGTACCTAGCGTCGCCCCTTCAGGCCCCTCACGGCCCCTCGCGTCGCCCCTTACGGCCTCTCACGGCCCCGTCTTAAGACCCCGCGCTAGCCCCTTAAGGCCCCGCGTCGGCCCCGCGCTAGCCTCTCACGGCCCCCTACGGCCCCGCGCTAGCCCCGAACGGCCCACCTACGGCCCCGCGCTAGCCTCCCACGGCCCCCTTCAGGCCCCGCGCTAGCCTCCCACGGCCCCTTAAGGCCCCGCGCTAGCCTCCTACGGCCCCGAATGGCCTCGCGCTAGCCCCGACCGGCCCCCGAACGCCCCCCCCCCGCGCTTGCTTCTCACGGCCCCTCCCGCGCTCGCCCCTCTACGGCCGAGCCGCGCTGCGCGACCCGACCCGAACCGCGCCGCCCTAGCCGAGCCGCGCCGCCCTAGCCGAGCCGCGCCGCCCTAGCCGAGCCGCGCCGTTCTAGCCGAGCCACGCCCTCCTTACCTGAACAGCAGCACCAGTACTGAACTGCTACTACTACTGCTACTGCTGCTGCTACTGCTGCTGCTGCTGCTGCTGCTACTGCTACTGCTACTGCTACTTCTGCTACTGCTACTTCAGCTATGGCTAGCCCTCCAGTTCTCTCGTTCGATACTGAGGGCCGCCCGATTAAGTTTGAGACCTGGCTCGATGATCTGCATCTGTTCCTCCAGCTCACTGCCAGAGAGGATATCTCGCTGTACGATCACGCACTAGGCACAGTCCCTACTCCTGCTACTACTGCTGCTGCTACTGCTCGCTCACAGTGGCAGACTCGCGATGCCCACGCCCGCTTTGCTATTCGCAACTCCCTGCCAGTAGACGAGCGCGAGCACTTTGGCCAGCATCAGACTGCGCACGCCCTGTACACTGCTGTAGTTGCGCGCTACTCCTCCCCGGCCTCAGCTGCACTAGGCCGCCTCTCGCTTCCCTACCTGTTCCCCGACCTGTCCGCCTTCCAGACAATCGCTGACCTCATCACTCACCTCCGCACTAGTGATGCCCGCTTCCGTGCAGCCATGCCCGCTGAGTTTCTTGCCTCCAACCCTCCCCCGCTCTGGCTCACTCTCTACCACCTAGTCACCCGCCTCCCTGACATTCTGCGTACAGTCAGGGACCACTTCCTAGCTCGCTGCCCCACTGAGCTCACCATTACTGCCCTAGAGAAGGAACTACTTGCAGCTGAGAAGAGTATTGTAGCTGTAGGTGCCTCTCGTGGCGACCCCCGCACCCCTTTCTTCGAGGGGTGTTCCCCCTCCCCCCTGCTGCCCTCTGTCGCCTATGCTGCTGCTGTCGACCTCCTTGGTGCTGAGCAGGTCGGCTCTGCGTCCGCTCCCAGCGGGCGCCGTAGCGGCAAGGGCAGGGGAGGCAAGGGCGGTGGGGGTGACGGCGGGGGAGGCGGTGGTGGGGGTGGTGGCGGCGGTGGGGGTGGTGGCGGGGCTGGAGGGGCTAGTGGCAGCGGTGGGGGTGGTGGAGGCAGCGGTGGCGGAGGTGGCCAAGGTGGGGGCGGTGGTGGTGGCGGCAGTGGACGTGGAGGCAGCAGGGGCGATGGTGGTCGTGGTGGAGGCGGCGGTGGTGGTCGTGGAGGCTCTGGCACTGGCCAGAGCGCGCAGCACCCTCTGTCCTCCCAGGAGCTTCGTGAGTGGTACTTACAGCACGGGGGTGGGGGGGGTAGCCTTAGCTGCACGTACGTCATCCGCACTGGTCGCCGCAAGGGACAGACGTGCGGGAGGGCGCACACTGCGCAGCGCTGCTTCTCTCGCCTAGATGACGCGTGGCGTGCTCAGTTTCCTGACGCTCCTGAGCTCCCTCAGTTGGCTGATCTCCTCAAGAAGGATATCGATATCTATGCTCTTGATTTTGATGTTATTCTCAAAGCCATGTATGCATTGACTATTAGTGGAGAGGAGGACCAGTACCTGTGTGTTCCGCCTGACCCAGGCATCCGCACGAGTGAGGCTGCAGCCCTAGGTGCTTGCGTGTCTGCTGCCCCAGGTACTAGTGAGGCTACTGCTCTAGGTGCTTGTGTGTCCGCCACCCCAGGTACTACTGAGTCCACTGAGGCACTCCACACATTCACTCTAGACTCAGGCGCTTCGCGCTGTTTCTTTCGTGACCGCACTGCTCTTGAGCCCCTTGCTCGACCAGTCGCTGTCTCGCTCGCTGACCCCTCTGGGGGTCTGGTCATTGCGACCTCCTCCACTGTCCTTCCTTGTCCTGCTGTCCCGTCGGGCACACTGTCAGGTCTCCATCTCCCCTCGTTCTCTACGAACTTGGTGGCGGGTTGTACGCTTCAGGATGGGGGTGTTCACCAGTTCACCCCTGCCTACGAGCGTGTGACACACTGCACGTGTGCTCGAACGGGCCGTCACCTGGCTACCTTCACTCGGCAGCCGGGGTCGGACCTGTACACACTGACCACTGAGTCCCCTCAGGTAGCGGCGTCTGCGTCTGCGTCTGCGTCAGGTCAGCTGTCTGCCCCCTGCTCGT